ACTACTTCTGAAACTCAGCAGGAGCATTTATTAAGTAAAGTTTTCCTAACCAGAATGAGAAACTGCATTGCATGATGGTAGTCATGCTAATTAAATTAAATAACCTTTACATATATATGTAAGAGTTTGGAATATTTCCTTGGTACAGTCCCAGAAAATAAATTACTTCATCTTCTTCTCAGAAATACATTTACTAAGATGAATCAGTTAAAATACAACATTCCTAAGATAAATCCAACACCCATTTTACTTATGCAACAAAATTATGATGCCGTCCATAATCTTATAGTAGTGTTTGAGTTTCCTGACCTGGTCTATGTTTGAATATTTATCTGTTTGCAAGTATGTATACTTTTTTTACATAACTGACACAATTATGCAATGCTTATTTTCTGTTAGTCAAAATATGTACTGAGACTTCATTATGATAGTACACATACTATTCTTATTGGAGCTTGGTCCTTTGACCTTCATTCATCATGACCACTCTAGATTTTTGACTAGATATATTTCTTAATGTTTTTCGAATGCATATAGATTTCTTTTCTTCTAACTGTTTATAAATACAAATAAAAAATTTTTGACATATTAATGAGTTACTCTGAAGTTAAAACTTCAAATGGTGAAAGGAAAAAGAAAAAATGGAAGAAATAAAATATTGTAGTTGGCTTTGCAGTAATAGTTGTGGTTAGATTTCTCAAAGACGTAGACTGGGAAATAAAAATCACTGATGGCATATGATTATTTTTGGGTACTTTGAAGAAACTGTCATTAATAAAGCTTTACACGGTAACCATGGAATAATGTAGGGATGTTGTTAGAGCTCAGCCAAAGAAATCAGGATGAGAACTGAGTATGTAGCTTAGTAGAATGTATATGTGAAACAAAACCTACAGCCATGACTGTAATCAACTAGAATAACCTCTAGCTCCTCTCTAAATATCTGTCATCGCATCCATAAAGTCTCAGCAACATAACTGCCTAAACATGAGCTAAACAAGGACCATCACAATAGCCATGCCAGCGTGGACAGGGAAATCAATGAGGCCTCAACCATACATAAAGAAATACAGGCCTCTAAGGAATGCTGTAAACAGGAGAAATAGTCTTCTCCAAGGAAGAATACACCAATTGGTTATTCGATACCAAATGATCAGTCATGTAAACATACATACAAGTAACACAATGCAGAAAGAATGGGTTATATTTAGGAATGAACGTGTGTGTGTGTGTGTGTGTGTGTGTGTGTGTGTGTGTGTAGGTATAGGTATATTCCCCATATTCATTCATATATATATGTATATATATATATATTCATACATGCATGAAATGACAAGTAGTATAAAAAAGAGGTCATGTATTAGAAAGAGAGATATCAGGGGCACATGATAGTGATTAGGGCGAAGAAAGGGAAGGAAGAAATAATACAATTGTAGAATAACTGAAAAAACAATTTAAAAACGTTAAAAATAATACAAAGCTTTATCAAGCACAAAAAATGAAATAAGGGATGTCACTCAGTTGGGAAGCCAGGAGAGTCTACACATAATTTATTGTATCCTAGTAACTAGAGTACTAAAGTATTCAGGATGATGACAGCAAAATTAGTAAACAGAATGACAACGAAACTGTAGTAACTCTTGTAATAACAAGAGACCAACATTAACTGTCAGTTATAAGACATAAAGATCAGAATCAGAGCTGCTGGCTATTTTGGCAGAAATTATGGAAAAATGCTTAAGAAGTTAAGATAATAAATATGTACATAAAAGTCGGTATGAGTCTGTATGACAGGCTATCACAGGGTGACTGTTAGAAAAGAATTCCTAAGATTTCCTTTCGAACAAGAGGGATGTTATAAAGAACAAAATGACTGAATATTTTCATCCTGACAGTGAATTTGCAAGAAAAATCTAAATGATTGCTGTGTGTGTGTGTTCGTGTGTGGGTGTGTATGTGCATGTGTGCACCTGTGTTTGCATGTGTACAAAAAACTACAGATGAGAGTTATAATCCCAGAGGTAGTCCCAGAGTGCTCCTCAGGGCTTTATGTGAATCAAGTGCAGTGTGTGCCAGAAAGAGAGCTCTCAACTTATTGTCCAATCAGATCAGCAGCAATAAAACAAGAAGACATTGGTCCCAATGATCCCAAAACAGATATTGTCACAATCTCTGAACATCTCAGAGAATGGCGATTAGTAATCTTGCCAAATGTTTGCTATTTCTGCTGAGGAAAGAAATGAACAGAGAGACAAAAATAAAATAGAACATGTGTCCCCAATGAAAACCGAAATAATTCAGAAGAAAAAAATCAAGATGAAAATTTAAAAGTATTCCTATTGGTGTGCTAAGAGAATCTTAAGACATCCTTGCATCCTTATTAAACTATAATTAGGTGATGAAAAGATGAAATGATTCACATAACAGAAGCCTTTAGCTATTACAAATGGTTGACATATTTTAAAAAATAACTAAATAGATAGATAACAACTTAGAAAACGGATGTGGAATGAAAATGTAGAACATGGAATGAAAAATATAGCTGAAAAAAAAAGCTAATAAACATAAAGCAATGTAGAGAGTCAGCTCAAAATTCAAACTTATTGGCAAACAGAATGCCTAAAGGGATAAGGATGAACAAACTGCCAAGAAAAAGCTGAGGGCCAGAAACCAAGGAAAGAGAATTAGAAATGAGAACAGTCTCTAAACCAACCTTGTCACAAAGTATAACCAAGTCTTTACGAGTCAGCTGAGAAAATGGGAAGCTAAGCTATATGTGGAGTCCAGGATCTCAAATGTGATGCTCAGGGCCTGACCAAATCCACTTATCATAGACCATGGTGCTTTGCACTGAGACACTTAAGACACTTAAGGAAAAATGCTTTAGAAGTTAGATAATGAATATGTATTGAAATGTCAGTATGACAGGCCATCACAGGGAGGACTGTTCTAAAAAGAATCCCTAGTATTTCCTTTTGAACAAGAGCCATGAATTAAAATCTGAATAACATCATCATCTGGAGATAACAGAACAGGGAGAAAAGTTGATGAAAATACCGGAACGTAAAATGTAAAATGTCAGACATCATGACAAGAGCGGGACTTCATCTAACCACACAGTGTATTGAGCTTGCTTACATGGTGTTACTTATAGAAACATGGGCAACTCAGAGACAACTGTCTCACTAAAGAGCCAGTCCCAGTTGTTTGACAATTCATGAAAGCTCTATCTGCGTGATTTCCTGCCCAATTTTCAGTGACCTCCACCAAAAATCTCCTTTCTCTATCAATTAATCACGTTTGCATCCTGGGTGAGTGGCCTTGTAAATATCCAATTTCCTGGGCTTCCCGAGGCTGGTACATTTTATGAGCTTCTAGAAGGTTATGAGTCTTCTTTATTCCTTACTTCAGAAGAGGACATTTCAATTAGTTAGAAGCAGCTATAAAACACCAGGAACAATCTGTATTCCTCCACGCTCCTATAATCATGTAGGTAATGGCAGGCATGGGTCTAAGTAAACAAATATAATTTCCTCATCTTACCTGGGATTTTCTTAATATAATGGAGAATGCCCTCCCCATCCGTTCCCCCTCCCAGTTCTGATACATTTTACTTATGTACTGATAGTTCATACTGCTATTTTATGCTTTAATCTACTTATATCAAGCCATATTTTCCAGATATTTTTGTACCTGTATACTTTAGTTCATCTTTCAGTTTGTAGGACAATTAATATAGACCTGAAAAAATTGTTATTTTTTTGTATGTGTAATATTAGGGAACTGCTTTTTATTCACAATACATTGAACTTTTTCTTGCTTATGTTTTTATATAAATGAGGGAAAGACAAAAAGGTAGGGAGGTATTTGCCAATTTATGAATGCTTTATTTAACTGCTTTAATGAAAGATTTCCATTTAAATTACCAGTCTCTGGGGTAGAAGTATGGCTCAGGGGCATAGCATGTGCTTAGCATGTATGAACTGCCCCTGGGTTATTTAGGTTGAAGATCTTGAGTTGTATTGACTTGCAATCCTATTCATCAGTCTAGAAGGCTTTACTAACTGGCCCACTGTGCTTCCTAGCTCTTAAGGAATTTGGTGGACCTAGAAGTCAAGCTGCAATTTTTAAAAGTTCTTTTATTGCATTAATATGTCACAACCATGACACTATCTCTGGCTATATAACTTTACCATAGGTACAGTAAGCTAACCAGATAATAATAATAATAATAATAATAATGTGACAACAATCCTTGCAGGATCAGTGGTGATGAGACAATTGGAAAGTTTGTTTCAAAGAGCATCCTGGGGCATCTGTGTCAGGAACCAGAGGCCATATGTGGAAGCACAGTTGAAGCTTGTGAAGGTCAGAGATGATGCACCTGTGGTCCAGTCACTGGAGAAGTTCCAGGGAGCTAAGGCCTGATAACCTAGGACTGGTTCTGATATGCTAGGCACACAGCTGTACCTGCCTTACTAGACACTCAAACTCTCAATACCCAAAGCCTAAGAGCTATAACCTTAGACAGACTAAGTTAAGCTTTGGACCTGCTCATGATTTCCATCTGGATGGAACCAAAGGACCCTAGCCAAGAAACTGACAGTACACAGGTAATCAGAAGAGTCAACCCACCCTACTCCTGCCCCTTATATCAAATGAAGTCTTGGGTTTTGTTGAAGTCTGGAATTCTTCTTCTTTTTCCTTTTCTTTACTCAGTCTCCGCATTCCACCCCCACATGTCAGCTCCACATATAAAACTACTGACAACCTACTGTAGAAATCAAAGAAATAAAATAGCCTTCAAATTGCCCTAATCTACAGTTTCTTTACTTACTTCATTCCTTGCAGACAAACAATAGACAAAGAACACTAAATTTAATGATAGTAGACCTAAATACAAAGAATAGGTATCAGAAAAAATAAAACAGAAGTGGAAAAAGATGTGATATAAAAACTCTTCTACTATGCAACCAGTAAAGAAATATCTAAACTTTAAAAACAGTTTAAAGTGATTCTTTTACAATGATTTGTTTTAAATTTTATTGGCAGGTGACAAAAAAAAAAGTCAAGGACAAATATTCTCAAAGCTCATGTGAAGAGAAGTTATTCACAGGTTAGGGGCAGCCTTCCATGGAAAATGGCTCATAGCTACTGCTTGCTCCTGCCGCTTTGATCAGAAATGTTCCCTGTGGGTCAATAAAACAAAAGATATATATAAATATATATAGTGATAGGAAATCATTATGATATATATATTTATATATTACCATCAAATATATCAAAACAAAATATATATTTACAAATTTGTTCCACATTATATTTCAAAATTCTCCTGGGTCTTTTAAGATTTTCTAAATTATTTCATTATTTGTTTTCATAAGATACTGCTTGCTTATATAATCCTATTCTAAACTAAATCTTGTTGCACATGCAAATGACAGAAATAGCTATCAACCCCAGAGGTGGTTTTCTTCTTTTGTACTGTTATATTGTTGAACCTATTGTGTGTGTGTGTTTAACTGTATGGTCACGTGTATTCAGACACATGTTGTAGGCTACATACACTGTATGGTGATCCTCTTCAGGTGCTATCCACCATGGGTTTGATACAATCTCTCCTTGGCCTGTAGCTTGTGAAACTAGTGACCTCCTAGGAGACTTTTGGGGTTTTATGTATGTATCTATATCATTGGCATTTTTATAAGAGTTCCAGAGACTGAAGTCAAGCACTTTGCTGGTTGTGCCCTTTTTAATTCTTAGTACAGTCTGATCAGTTTCTCTTTAAGTAGGCCATTCTTATTGTCCCCCACCAGTGCGATCTTTCACTTTGTTTATATGGAATTTGAAGATGGAGATAAGGATAAAGTATTACCTGACTGACACTCACCTAGTAGCTGTTGGAGTGCTGTGCCTTAGTTATGAGTCCTACCTAGTGCTGCCTGTTTACTTAGCCCTTAGTACAAAATAATTTTGTATACAACACTTAAAAAATATAGGAGAAAGTACTGAATTTTAAGTATTATTCTTGCTTTAAAGGATACTGTTTGTGTAAGTTAAAGGGATAGCTATGTAACTTAGCTGGTAGAGAGACTAGCATGCACAAAGCCCTGGATTTAAGCCTGAGTATTACATAAACCAGGATTGAGTGTCAGCCTCTAATCTCAGCACTTGGGAGGTAATGATAAGAGAACAGGAATTCAAGGTCCTTACCAGCTACAAAGCAACTCTGAGACAAGCCTGGGCAACATAAGATCCTGTCTTGAAGCATCTTAATTTGGGGTCAATGAGAGTTAAGACTCTTGCTACTAAGCCTGAACACCCAGGGTTAATCCCTGGAGTCTTACAAAGTGGTTGGAAGAACGGACCCCTGAAAAGTTTCTCTGTACCACACAAGCCCACCATAGGATGCAGGTGTCTACACCCCCATGCACAAACACAAGTTAAGATGAAATGTAACAGAAAGTAAAAATACCAAATGCTTCACAAATAAAGGTGACATGTGTATGTATATGTTAGTTAGATTTCAGAATTACATCAGTGGAAACAAACCAAATGATACACAGAAACCAAAGCAAGTCACTAAAAGCCTTTGTTCAGAATTCCACAGCATAATTTATATACTGAAGAATCTTAGCATCAAACGCTGTATCTAGATTTAAAATTATCCTGTTGACACCAATACTCACAAACAGAAAAACAACTATTTGCCTAATTATAAAGTATTTACAAAGAGTGGATGATTACAATAAATGAATGATGAGACACAGACGTAAAATATGAAGAATTTGTCTTCATCTGTGTTATTGGAGATATGATTTGGACAATTCACATGTTCTTCGAGACTCACTTTTGTCTGCGGAATGGGGGCTCACAGGAGTAACAACCTGTCACAGTTGCTGCAGCTACCACAGATGATCAATCATTAGAAAGTTCTCTGTATGTTTTTTAGCTAATTTAATTTAATTTAATTAGCAACAGAGAGGTCATATTCTGACGTGCTTAACATCCATATTCTTTTGCATGCTCACTTAGATATAGGACAGAGAAGTCATTCACTAATCAGAAGGTTATTATAAAATCTTGTTTATGATTCCAAAAAGGCAAATGTTAATCAGTCCATTAAAAATGGCACAAAGTGAGAAGTGCACATTCTGATCTCAGAATGTGTGGAATAAAGGGAATGCTGGGTTAGCTCCATGCCCAGGAGTAATCATGAAAATTAAACTCACAAACATCTATTGGCCACATTTTATCTGTATGTATGTAAATACATAAAAATATACTTATTAGATTGAATATGTACTTATTAAGATACAATTAAAGTAAAACATAAAACTCAAGTTGTATTTTATGAGCTGAATATGAAAGCTACTTCCCCTCCGCTCATAGTTGCTAGTGATGTTTGAGAAGAGAGACCTGTGAGGTGAGCGTGGGTCACCGCTTTCATGACTTTTAACGTTACTCCTTGAGCATCTCCAAACCCTGTCTGAACTTTTTTGCTTCCTGAGCGATATGAAGTGGAAGGTCTCAGTGTCTTGTTCCTGATGGCTTCTTGTTCTGCCTCACCAGGAGCCTAAATACAGAACCAACTCACCAGGAGCAGATCTCTTTAAAATTTGATGCCTAAATGAATCCTTCCTGTTCCAAGCAACCTCACCCCCAGCCGTTTTAAACTCTAACTAAAAAAACTTTAGAGTTAACTGGGAGGTAGCACATCAATGTCATCACGTTCTTGCTACCTTGATCAGTTCTCAATAGTGAATGTATTAAAAAGCAGGTATGTATCATTTCCGTTTATAGCATCATAAAAAAATGCTAAAACGAAAACCAATAAGGAGGCAAGTGGAGTTTTCAGAGCGAAGAAGCTCACATTTCACCTAACACATAAAATGCAAATGCGGATGAAAGAGGCTCTGAGTGAAAGCAACCACCACTGCAACACACACTCACCTGCGGTCCAGGACAGCCCCAGAAACTTCTAGAAGATCACTCGGACGCATCTAGTTGTGCCTGCTGACTGAGAAGCATGTAGATCCTCTCTTTGATCCACTCTCGGCCATAAGGCTTGTATGTCTGCGTTTCTTCGCTGAACACCAGGCAGCTGAGGTCTACCAGACGGTCGATAAACTCAAACAGCTGACTGACGCCATAGGTGATGAACTGGCTGAAGGGGTTCAACCTCTTCAGGTGCTCTTCGTACATCTTACAGATGCCTTCCATGCATTCGTTCACGGACTCGAATTCGGCATAGGTGCGGCCTTCTGGCCTCTGCGTTGGCTGCAACAGCAACTTGATGGGAGTCATTGCCGCAGGAGCCCGTCTGCAGCCCAGTCTAAACCGAACTGTGCATGCACTCGGTGGCAACGCCTCTAACAGCAAGTCTCGCGAGAACTCGTGGAGTGGCTAGGCACATGTCCTGTTTCTGGATGGTTCGAGGCTCGAGGCTCAATATTGGACACAGTGTGTCTCATTGTTAAGGGTTCCATATGCAGAAACACAACTGATTGATCCAACTGTGTGCTTCGAGTTCTTGAGAGACATCTCTGTAAGGAAACATCGGCTTAATATGCATGGTTTTATTAAATAACCTTTGACAATATATTTTGGTCAGAAGTTATTTAAAGGCATAGTTGCCAAATGAAAATAGATAAGAAAAGCCCTCATATGCACACTCCTCGTTGCCACCTATACTAGCAACATGAATTTATTCAACCTTATTTGCAGTCTTCATTAACTTCACCTAATTGTTAATATTGTCTTATAAATATTTGTATGATTTCTCTTAAGACTGTACATGTACACCTCATTTCAAAGTATGCGTTAATTCACTATTCTGTGCAAAGAATGTGGGTTTGTCTTTAATACAGGGTAAGTCACAAATTTCACCCTTTTACTTTTTCTTGAAGATTTAATAAGAAGAATAAATTAGAAAACTCTCAAGTGATAACAAAAGAAAGCTATTTTTATGCTCTGTAGATTTTGAGAACATTGTGTATTGTTAAATTGTTCCGTAAAAGGAGGCAATATCTACTAACTACATCTATTGAAGGAATGTTTTAATTTATAATAAAATACAGAACCGGGGCAAATATGAATCTATCAATTAATATCACCTTAAAACCACTTTAAAAAGAGAGTGCCATCGTTTCAAACACATGTTTTCTAAAATTGGCTGAAATGAATGCATAAGCACCATCAATGGGTCCTTTAACAAAGAGAAGCAGATCTTATTAGTGACAAACCATAGCAAGGAAAAGGGACAAAGAGATAGTGATGTTTTATGCAGCGCTTTTATTTTTATAAGACAAGTAATTATATAAATGGATTTTTCAATACTTAAGTTAAACAGGTGTATATACGGAGATGGTTTAAATATTTTTCTTATGAATGCTTAAGGTAAAAGTCACTTAAGGGAAATAGCTTGTTCTGATCATAGATCCTGGGTTCCAAGGGCTGAGTTGATTGGGCTTGGCCACTGATTCAAACTTGGCCAAGTTTTTCATTCTCCTTCCTATATTTTGAGTCAGAACCGTATGTACATTTCGTAATTCTAGTGAGACTGAGGTCCGGTCCGAGGACTTCCAGCAGCATATGTGTTGAGGAGATTAACTTTGTTGTTGCCAGCAACCACCTTATTCAGCTCCGCGTTTCATTTTGTCCAGTCTCCTTAGAGGAGTAAGTACAGTGGTGAGTTTGTGGGCTAAAGATCAAACATACTGATGGAGGAAGTGACCCTTGTGCAAACAGAAGGAGCTTAAACATGAGACACACAGAGTCCTTCGGGATAAAAGTAAAAGAGACAGCTGCCTCATTCCAAACCCCATTTCCCACATGTCTGCTTTGGAGGTGATCTTTGATGACAAGATGTCCCCATCCCCACTGTCCAGAGGACATGAGCATGGCCTGAGGGACAGGTAGTGTTAGTAACTATGACTGGGACAATGGTAGACATGAGAACTGGATTGAAGGCCGCTGTCTGGTTCCCAGTATTGTTACTCAACCTGAAGTTTGACTATTTGTGTTTATTGTCTCGCTAGTTCCTTGACTATTTGCATCTATTATATTGCTAGACCCTCAACCTAGAACTGACCTTAATGCATGCATGTAATTAAAATGGTATAAATCAAAAAGAAGGAGGGGGAGGTGATAGGGGGTTCTAGAGAGGGGAAAAGGAGAAAGGGGATGATATCTGAGATGTAAATAAATAAAATATCCAAGAAAAAAAGGAAAAAAAAAGAAAAATACTGCACAGTTATTCAATGATTTTCATGAAAATGTTTTCATTAGGCTTAAAGTTTTCTTGTTCAATCACAGTTTGCTGCTGTTTTTGTTTCCTATCATGTAAACTTACTTTTTTTTTTTGACAAGTTCCTTGTTTTCTGAACAAAATGGGTATTAGCTAATGTTCTGTATTCCAGCAATTATGAGAATCAAGGATCTGACTTTCCTTGCTAAAGTATTTACAGTGGTTACAGGCAGGCCGGATGGTCTTCTGTTTTCATTGCTTCTTAATCTTTGCAGCACATAAAGCATGTCAAGAAGTTGAAATATAATTTTCCTGCCTCAGCCTTCCTCCCACTGGAATTATGTATATATGCCACCTTGCCAAGCACTGTAAAAATGTATTTTACAATCATAACAAATATAAGAGTAAGGGGTTATTAAAGAAACAGATTATGTTGCTCCTATTCTTCATATTTCAGGACTCTAAACAGTATAAATTGGATTTTGACATAAATTAATTTTTTTGAGAATGGAGAGATGGCTCACTATTTAAGAACACTGCCCCCTCTTCCAGGAAACCTCTGCTCCATTCCTGATACCCATGCAGTGAGTCACAACAGTGTATAATTCCAGTTCCATGGGATTTGATGCCCTCTTCTGCCCCCTACAAGCACAGAAGGTATGTGGTGCACAACCAAAACACCCAGACCCATTAAAAAAAAAATCTAAGGAAAAAAGAAAACCATGAAAACCTGCTTTTATGTTTACCAATAAATGCAAAAATTAATAGTATTTTTGTCCGAGTCTCCAAAATCTTTTCCTTAATTTAGCAATCAACCACCAATCAGTCAGAATGAAAAATCCATTTATTTGAGTAATTATAATTGTGATTAAAACAAATAAAAACAAAATATAATTTTCAATTTCGGAGAACTTTTCTACAAATCTACTTTGGTATGTTCACTATTGTTTTGTATATTATGTGTTGGAAGTGTATTCCCCAATGTGGTGGTGTTAAAGACTTGAGGGTTCGTGGCATATGGTTAGGTCATTCCATTGTTACACTCAGAAGAAATTAAGTTAGGTCTTAAGAAATGCTTTGTTCTAGAAAGAAATTTGCTATTAAAAAACCACCCTGCTATAGATCGGCTAGGACTGTTCCACCAGTGAGTACACCTCTGATGAGACATAGGGAACGATTGTGATCCAATGTCAAGGGTGGCTATAAACTCATATTGTTGAATGTTTGGTCCCTAAGTTGGTGGACTGTTTCGGAAGAATTAAGGGTGTGGTCTTGGAGTAGCTGAGACACTGGGGGTGGGCTTTGAGGTTTAAAAGGTCCAAACCAGTTCCAGTATCTCTTTCTTCCTGCTCCATACAGATCTGGATGTAGAACTCTCAGCTACATGCCTGTGTGCTGCCCTGCTCCCTGCTTTAATTACAATTGACTAAATATCTGAAATTGTAAGCAAGCTAAATATTTTCCTTTAGAAGACTTGCTGTGGTCATGATGTCTCTTCACAGCAGCAGATCACTGACTAAGACAGTCTGAGTTTTTCTGGATCACAGTGCAGTAATCCTGATAGGGAAGTCAAGGCAGAAAAAGCTTAAAATAACTAATGAAGAAACAGAGAACAAAGAATGCATGCTTCGGCCATTCCTTTCCATATGCATATATTCCATGACCTCAGATGGGGAATGGTACCAACTACAGTGCATGGTGGTTCTTCTGAATCAGTTAATGCAATTGATATTATGCCTCATGGTCATGCTCAGAGGGCCATCTCTGGCAAGTAAACAATTAACACCAATCACATGGACTTCTTCCACAAACAAAGTGATCTATAAATGATAATCTAAAATATCTGAAACTGTGATCAAAAGTAATATTTCCATCTTTTAAATTAATTATCTCAGGTATTTTACTATAGTCATAGGGAGCTGACTAACACAGAGCTTCACCCCCCTGACCCCCCCGACACACACAGTCTGACTTTCTGTTTTGCTATATAATCTTATTTTCCCATGTAGCCTGGCAATGTTTCACCACTAAAACGTGAGATGGGAGAGAGAGAGAGTTGACCTCATCAGAGTGTCTACTCTTGGAGGTGAAATAGTCAGTTTGTTTTCCAATTACAGAGTAACAGAGAGCAGAACAGCAATGTGAACTTTACAATGTGTAGGCATATTAATAATTGTTCCTTAAGTAAGTTGAACAAGCCAAGCTGAGTTACTTTTCTTATCTCATTAGTCTTCAGTGTTTCTGCACTTAACAAATTAATTTTAAGTATATTTTCTTATAAACTCTAATTTTAAGGAAAACTTAAAACTGATATGTCTCCTTGATTCTATCCATCTCAATTTATTGTTTAATAATGTTAGGGTACAGTCTCCCCACAGGCACCTGATGCCATGATCTACTTTGTGTCACAGCCTGCATTAATCACTTCATTCTACGATTATCTACAAGACAAAGATTCACAAGCTGCAATATATATGTCATTTTATGAATTTAAAAAATAGATTGTCAGTAAAATGGTATTTTACATGAGAATATATAATGATTTTTTGAATTATAAAAACAAACTAAATGAAGTGTAAAGTGCATGATGTCAGAGGTAATAAATATTTATGAATCTGTTAGTGTCACTTTAGTCTAACAAAAATTATGAAATAAAACACAAACTATGTAGATGTATAAGAATTATAAGTATCCCTGTTGGTATGCTGAGGAATACAATTAATATTAGATTGAATACTAAGCCTAAACATTCAAAATTTTTAAAATATCTGAAATAATGACTCTGCTCATATGAATAGAATATTGCTTCATTTCAACAAAATTTTGTGTTTAATCAGTGAGTGATTAGCTGTTTTATATACTCAGTGATCAAAACTGAAGTCTATTAAGTGCATTATTAAAACTGTGAAAATAAGTGGCCAGGTATGATCCTTGCCATCACTTTCCATGTTGCCAATACATAAACTGCTCAGAAAGAAATCTTTAAACTATTTGAATTTAATTATAACACATAAAAGTAAATGTTTTAATGCTTTTGAAATTAATCTTACAGATAGTCTTTCATACTCAAAATCTACATTTACATGTATCAT